AAATTCCCATTAACTCAATTTTACATAAATAAATTCGATTTTTACCGCTTAAATTTCGATATTCTAAGATCATAGAATACTATATAAACCATCAGCACATTAACTCAGATCTTTATACGAACATGTACCATTACATACGCAATATTATCCGGTATTTAGTTATATCAAAATTTCTCAACACAAACTGATCGATTGCTGTCACATTGAACAAATGTCAATGAAATAGGGATATTGTTTTTGTAAACCATGTACAACCCGTTTCTTAATTAAATTTATTGATGTATGAATTTTCTTTCTCTATGAATCTATCTATCTCGAGATAGATTATGATATATCGAGAGAATGTAAGTATCAATAGAACCGGAAGAAGAGTAAGAAACTCGTACAATTTTCTGTTGAGAAGTATGTATGGGAATATTTGTAACTGAGGATTTTCTCCATATTGTTATCGTTGACTATTCATTGTAGATGGTGCCAGTGTGATGTCTTCGACCGCATAACATAGCATGCTAATAAGGACGAAAATCTTTACATTGCAAAGAAGATTGTTCTGTGAAAAATGAAAGGCTTCTCACCTTCCGACAATATTGACAATGAGTGCAAGGAAGATTACAAAATCGAGATTCTGCAATATCTGATGTTTAAAGAACTACTCATTGAGTATTCAACAATTTGTAGAACTCAACACTTTCAAAGACGGAAACCAAGGCAAAAATAGAAACTCTTGATGCCGTTCATTTCATTAAAAATATTTTCTCTAAAACCGTTTCCAGAGTTACTATTGTGCACGTACAATCTCTAGTATCAAATTTGCTAAACTATCATGTCGGTACATGAACCAAAATGTTGAGCAGCCATGTCTAATCTTCCTTCGCACATAGTATCGAATTTTGTCTCGAAGAAATATTCATCTTATATAACATGCAACCAGACCAAATAAATGCACCACAAATATAATTTCCAAATTCCACAGAAGTCTATTGAATCTCAAATTATCCTAATCGATTTAATTTCCTAAATTCGGTGTCGGAATCATTTATATAGTCTAGTGACGATCTACGATTGCTTTCTACTTGAGTAATTACAGTAAAATCTCTCTATAGTGAGTATCCTTCAGACCTTTCAGAAGTGTCCACTATAGATAGACTAAGTTTTTTACAAGAGGCAGACGTGATTTCTAACATCTAGCCGATGTTAGTAAGTAAAATGGCCAGCTACTATCCATTGTTCATTCTTTTTATGCGTTTTCGTTCTTAAAAAATCAACAATTATTAAAGCCTAGTAAAACTCTCCTGTCATAGACGCCAGTAGGACTTTTCGAAAGTATCCTCTGTAGAACTATATAACGGTGTTCACTACACGAAGATGCTCATTACAGAGAGGTGTCCACTATGTAGGGGTGTAATTCCAGTAAAAATCGTTTCGCCAGATCGCCAAGTATCCATTATGGGCGGTTTACATTGTATATTTTTTCTCTTTCGTTGTTTCGATACAAATGGACAACATGTACGTCTTGTTTTCTTTCTCAATTCCAGTGTATTTAGTGCAGTTTTCTGATCATTTTTCAAAACGAGAAAAATAAAGATTTGAACAAAAAAAAATATATAAAAACTATGCACATTTTCGATTAGAATATTTTCTTTTTATTT